TATCTTATAAGTAGAAGAACTAACTGCTTTTGGTCCAGATTATCTTTTCAAGGATGTTTCTATAGTGAAGAGCCTTGAAAGAAAAAGAGTGTCTCTGTAAAGGATTGAGCAGAAATACTTATTTCCAGAATACTAAAGATAATGAATGCCACTTTCTGGGAAACTTATCACCCATTTTCAAGACTTGAGTTCCTTATATTCAGGGTTTCTCTCCTGAATACCCAGGCACACTTGGGCATCACTGATCTTTTTCACATTAACTTGTGGAAACTGGTGCTAATGATACTATTGTAACTATTGCGAGTGCTGTGAGTAATGAAGTCCTTTGTCTCTGACCCAGGAGTCTCATGTCTTCTATCAGCATCCGTCAAACTGTGACAGTCTAACTTATCAACTTGTTAGTAGTGTAAAAAATCTCAGGCCTTCTGCAGTTCTTGGCAGTCACTAAATTATGTTAACATATAATATTGAAAGAAATGACCCTGACACAGAGAGAGTGTCTCTTACAACAACTAGGAAAGTATGTCTGGGAATGGGGCAGGGCAACTATTCTGTATCTTTTTATATTACTGACCTTCACTTTTATTGGAGGGGTCATAGAGTCTTTGAGAGTCTGACGACATTTCTGTTCTGTGAATATACACACAATGTTTTGCACAAAATCTGTAGGCTTATGAACCCCTTATAGAATTGACCCTGAATTAGAATCCCTGTTCAGGACTGCTTCTTCCCAAAGTTGAGGATTATAAGCATACAGTACATTACACAATAGGTGGTCATTAATGTTTATAGAGGGATGCATGACTAAATAAATCAGTAATTTAGAAGATTAAAACATAACATAGGTGATACTCCACAGCATGAAACCAAAGAGAAAAATAGTTCTACTGGAGGAAAGTAAAAATAAAGAAGGTCTTGATAATTCCCTGGAGAAATAATTCCCTCTTTCTCTTCCTCTTACCCTCTCAAGAAAAAAAATGGTTTGGGAAAAAATAAATAGATTCAGACAAGATAAATAAGAACATGGATCCTACAACCAAATTACCAGGGTTTAAGACCTGACTTTTCCACTTGCTAGTTATACGATCCTGGGCAGTAACTTCACCCTTCCATACCATTCTGCACATCAGTTTCCTCATCTGTACAATTGGCACATAATGCTTAGCTTAGAATAATGTTTTGTATATAGAAAGTACTCAAAAAAGTTGGCTGCCATGATGGTGTCAAAATATCAAAGTACAGCCATTCCAGGAGTAAGGAGATAAAGAAACAATGAAAGTCATGGGGCAAAACTGAAGATTAAGTTCCTTCTCTTCTCTGAAAAGATCCATTCTCTCCCATGAGAGTGTCTCCTTTCTCTTTTCTAATCCCTTCAATAAATTCATACCTGTTCCTCTGCACACAGGCCTGAAATCTTCCTGGCATGGTTGCAAGAATCAGAATTTGAAGAGGATCTTTTGCCTGACTCAGCCTTGTAGCTGATCTCTGACTTGTAACATCTGGAGTTTGCACCAAGTTATCATTGGTTATCCTAATTCTTTTCTGGTTACTTTCATTCAGCTTTTTCTGTATCTCTATTCTTCACTTCAAATTTTTGGTGACTAGAGGAAAAATCTTGAGATAATCCATGGTTCTTTAGTTAGAGCACATTCTAGTAAGAACCAAAAGGCCTCTTGATTGGAGCTCAGATACTGTAACCCTTAGGAGTAAAAGTTGGGGCTTTCACCCTCAGTCCATTTGAACGGCAATGCTTACCTATGGCAAATGAAGGATTTGAGGTGAGGGTAACACCCTTGTAGAATCTGAAGTGATCATGAGATTTTGAACCCTGATGCCTGGGAGAGTAAAGTCACCTCTTTCTCTTCCTCTTACCCTCTCATTTTTATCTCCAGAACTTAATGGAATCTCACTCAAGGGTAAGATCAGTGAGAACTCTAATTCATGTTTAAGCATGATCCCTGCCTTAAGTATGCCTCATCCAGTCATCCATCAAATGTCACCATGGATCTCTGGACTATCCTGATGTTACTTACATTTAACTGTCCATGTCTCACCTGATAGAAAACAAAGACTTTGGGCTATACCCCCCAACTTTGCCCTCTTTCAGAAGGAAGCATCCAGACTGAATAGATTCCCAAATACACTAAAAGAATTCAGGAACCCAAGTCCTTAAGTAGAGTGATGTTAGGTAGCTAATCAGCCATGAATCGATGAACAGGGAAAAGACAATGAAGGGTAACATAAAACAATAAGAAGCCTTATCTGACAGATAAGCACCTGGAAGATGGGAGGCTAGAATGTTAAAACCTCCACCCAGCCATAATTACCTCCTCTTTAGAAAAATTATTGCTTCAAGATCATGTCACATCCCACCAGGTGACCTGGACCCTCCTTTATCATGAAACTATCACAACTCCCAATCACCCCGATTACCTGGGCAACCAAAACATCAAGACCCTCACAAAGAAAGCTTGCTGGGGGCTATTCAAAGGGTAACAAACAGATTAAGGGGGGGGGAGAAAATTGAGGCAAAAGCAGGGGGGACCCAGTTTCCTTAAAATCTCCAACTCTGTGAGCAATACATCATCCCCTCTTGGAGGCAGTGCATGAAGTTCCTAGGCTGTCAGTCAAAAGTTAAAAGGTGGACCTGGGCAGGATTCTCTGGAAACTTCCCTAGGACTCCCAATAAAACTGGAGGGCAGAAGAGGCCTTCTCTCTGAGGGGACCCTCTTACCCTTGAAAAAGTTCCCTTTCTCTTTTCCTATATCTTCAATAAACTCATGCCTGTTACTCTGAAGTAAAAAAAAAAAACTAAAGATGAAGGGAAAAGTGTGTACAGAGCAATATTAAGTTGGCTGAACACCAGACTGAGATAGATTTTGTGGAAAATACCATCAACAACAAAATGTATCAAAGTGAGAACAAACACATTGCTCAATGAAGATAGAGTAATATCAACAGACTATTAGAGAGAAGGCAGAACTATTTCGTTCCTATTTTTACTTCCATATTTTTCACCAAAGGAATGTTTGGTGAACTAAATGCATCAGACAAGCACAAGAGGAAATTGGTCCCTAAAGGAAATTGGGTACTCAATACAGTTACCCTCCCCCCTTAGGGGATAAGATTCTAGATTGACCAACACCGTAGACCAAAGCACAAGAATTTCACAAGGCATTTGACACATCTGTGCTCCTCTGTGGAGAGGAGAGACAAATGTAAATCATTATACATGAAAACAATAGTACAGTGTTCACCATGATCCCAGAAACCTCTGCTTATCTTACCCTGTTCAATATTTTAGCCCACAACTTACATAAAGACAGAAGGTAGTGTTTATCAGATTTTCAAATAACAGAATAGAACTTAAAAAGTATCTGGACAGAGTAGAATAAGTATATAAAATTTTAAAAGAATAAAAAAAAGTCTCCCAAAGGACAGAGGGGGAGAAATGCCATTTTTCAAGTCTTATGGCATTCCAGTTGTATGCAAGTTCATGAAGTCACAAGTGATTTCCCCCTTAATTCCTAAGAGTTGATGATTTCATAGGCATTAATTACACTTCAACCATGACTGCAGCAGCAACAGCCACAACAAAAAATAAAAACAAACCACAAGGTCGATGCTTCTTTCAGCAAGCTCTAAGAACATAATTAAAAGATTCAAAAGTCCTAATATTTCCAAACACCATTTCAATAACATTTCAATTGCATCAATGACACCCACACAAAGCATATGCCATCCAAATATATATTACACTAGCTTTACCAGAAACAATTGCTATGATGCCAAGAATGTAACAGTCATATGGAAAATTCACTTTACTTCCTGTCTGGCTACCTCAGTTTCTCCTCCCACTAAATCAGGATGAATGATAATTGCGACAACTTTAAAAGTATAGATTAAAAGATGAATAATTGTATAGATTATAGAGATTATAAAGATGAATAAGCCCTTTGGCCTAATCCCTTAGATGAAGTCCCTTTAGCATCTGTGCTCCTCTTGAAAATAACAACTATCCCACAATTTAAGACATTAGTGACTTTACACTCAAGGTTTCCATTGTCTATTCTGTGGAGGGTGTAGATGCTCATCACCATTCCTGGGGTGCAAAATCCACTCTGGGTACCATGCCTTTAGCAATCCTTTCCTAAAAGAAAAGAACACGGGAGCTTCAGTGTGAAAGTTTAGGAGTAGGAAACTCTTGGAAATGAGACAGAGACCTTTGATTGGTAGGTACAAGCCTGTCAGTTAATGACTGGAAGAGCTGTGAATTCTCACATTTACAGTGCCAAGGAAGCTTTCTGAGGTAGTTGGGAAAGGAGTCCTGAGTGTCAACCCAGCACATAACTTCAAGGGCCAGTTTGGAGTCAATCAAGACAATGGAAATAGAAATGGCTAATTTTCATTTTGTCTTCTCATTCCGCCACCACCTAGGTGATCCCCTCACCCTCACCCACATGAAAGAATTTAAATTGGAGCATTAGTATCAAGGCCTGTTCCCATAAGGAGAGATCCATCTTTACTATGTCTTACTTTTTGTTCTGACCTTGATGGGTACCTGGAGTTTTGTTTGTGTTTGGACATTTTTAGTAAACTGAATCTTTAGTAGATGAGTTTAAAATCCTATAAAAACTTGGACTGGAGACTAACACCCAGATATGTGCCTCTGATGTTGTGAAGGATTTCCTCGGGACAAAAGGACAAACAAACCTGCTGGTGATGTTCCTCCCCTCTGACCTGTGGCTCACTGTCTGCCAATAATCGTAATGGAACACCAATTTCTCATGGTGTGGAAAGGTATTTTTGGAGTAAGACATAATCCTTGCCCTTAAAGCAGCTATAACTTAATTTGGGGGCATACTCATCATATGTAGTTTTGATCAAACTACTACATAGCAGCCAATGCCAAATTCATATATCTGGGTCACAAAATTATTTTTTTCTGGTTAGAATTAGCAGCATAACTCTTTACACAGACCATACAAAGAATATGCATCTTTGTTTTTCTCACTTTATTACAGAAATGAAGATAAGTGTGATTTCCCCCCCTGCTGTGTCTTTGTGGTAGAACCCAAAACATTCCTGGAAGGAAGATTCCTCCTTGTGGTCAAGAGATGGTCTGAAAGGACTCAGGCTGGAGCCATGACCTCTTTACTAGCTTCTCTATACTTCTGTGGAGATATAATATAAATAAATAAGTAAATAAAGCTGCAGAAGGAAAAGAAAATTAAGAAAAGGGCAATATTTCTTTTTATAAAGGGGACAGAGGTCTTAGCCTGCCATCTTGAAGTAGCACCCTTTCTCCACAGAAAAGTCTTACCTGGGCTTCTCCAGTTAATTGTCACCATGGCTGATTTTAGGACTGTCAGCAAGAGTCTATGCAAAAGAGTTCAATGTAGATAAACTTCCTATTTCCGTGTTGCCCTATCTTGCTTGGCCACTGGCCAGGAAGAAATCAGCACTCCAGGGGCTGGACACCCCCTTACTAGTCTTCACAAATGTATCCAGTAGTTTGTAGAAATGTGCAAACAAGGCCTCTGGCCTTGAGATGGGCTTCACAGAGATGTCTATATTTTTAAGATAAGTTATCAATTGGGCTCCATGGTAACAGCTGGCAGGGGGAGGAAAGAGAGGGGGGAGAAGCTCTCCCCTTCTCAAGTATTGTCCTTGAAGGGTTAACTTGCCCAAAAACAGTCGGGGGGGGGGGGAAGCGAACTTCTGAGCCCCTCCCCTTACATGCTGGGTATAAAACTCTGAAACTACCTGAACTCAGGGTTCAGGGAATTGATTGATTACAGCAAAAGCTGTGCCCTCTGAGCCTGGCTGCAGCCAAATAAAACTGTTTCCTAGAATCTTTGATGCCTTGCCTCGTCTGTCCCTACAACAATCTGTGTCCTCTAAAACTATAAGCGAAAGTCTGGACAGTTAAAGAAGCTACCTAAACCAATGTTTATCCTAAATGTGTTAAAATATGCTCTTACCTGAACAGGATGAATCCTGCTTTTGGTGCTTCCTTTGCTTTCTACCGTAGTGACAGCAGCCCCATAGAGAGAACAGATGGGCACCAGGCAGGCAGCCACAGAGAAGTGACTTCAGAGTTCCCACAGGGAAGCTGAAAAGAATTGGCAAAGACAACAGTGGCATTCTGAGGGATAAGAAAGAAAAATATGTATTTAGATGATATATATTTAATTGCTTTGACACAAACATAACTGAGTACAAGTTAAAGCTGAGTCATCACAATGATTTTCGATTTAAGTATGGTCACTTAAAAATAAACTTCTATTACCTGGAATTAAGAAAGCCATTTATCTCCCAAAACTATATTGTTAACAAAATATCTCAGGAATAGAATTTTTATTTGTTCCTATGTCCATTTCAGTTTGTCAGTTGTGACGACTGGTCAAAGAATTAGCTTGTTCCCTTCAAACAATCTAGGTAATGTATTATTTTAGAAAGACTCTGGAGGCATAGGGAAGAAGTTCAATGGGACCACCAGCAAAGCAAGTCATCCAACAATTGAGTGCAGGTAACTTTGGTTCTCAGTACTTAGGGAAGGGGTACCTCAACAAATATTGGTTGGATGAATAATAAAGACAACAGGGCATTTCACCAAATTCTCAGAGGGTTCCATGCATATGAGATGCATTGTACCTATCAGGAGGAGAATGAGAGAAATTGAGTTTGGCCCTGAACTTGGTTATCTGTTTCCAGAAGGAATAGTAGAAAGGGTGGGGCAGTAGGCTTCAAATCTGTCCTTGGCAGACCTTGCAAAGAGAAGAATCTGGGGTTTTCAGTCTAATGGTCTTGGGTTTTATGCTCTCTCACTAGTTCTATAACTTTGGTGAAAAATACAAATTCCCTTAGATCCTCAGTTTCCCTTATTTGTAAAAGGAGGATGCCAAGAACTAGTGTCAAGTTTGATAGCAGAAGTAAGTACAATCCTGTCCCTCTTTTCTCCAATTATCAACAAGTAAGATAGTTAATTTTGCTCTAGCTCATAAAAGATGAGATAGTTCAGCTTTCTTTGTTGAGTGTGACATGGGCAAAAGTGTGCCAGGAATAAACTCCATGGAAAATCAACATAGGATTCAGTTGCACGGACTAGTCTTGGAGGAAGGATACCGGATCTTCTGGGAGATGTGGTTGCAATTTAAGATCATGGCTGTACAGGTGCCACTGCCCTCCACAGCCATACTTCATCCCTGTGAGTTGGACTGGAAGGGTTATGGTCAAGGAAAAAAGAGGAACTAACTCTGTCCATCCTTAACCTTAAATTTTCACATAGGGGAAAAATGACTTCAGGACAGGCGCAATTTCAATGACTTCTTGAAATACCTTGCTTGCCCTACAAGCTTTGGTGCTCAAGTATAAATCAGTTAGAATGTGGGATCTCTTAAGAAACCACACCTTGACCTACCAACCAACGGATGCCAGCCACTTGCCATGGAGGAAAATCATCAGCCTCAGCCAATTCCAGGTCAGGGACACAGACCTCTTGGCAGTTTGAAGCAAGTCCTGTTTCTTTTCTTGGTTTAGAGAGCCTCCTGTTTTAGTCAGCTTTTTGCTGCTATTACTAAAAGACCCAACCAAAACAACTTTAGAGGAGGAAAAGTTTTATTTGAGGGCTCACGATTTCAGAGATCTCAGTCTTTAGAAGGCTGGCTCCATTCCTTGGGGGCTCTAAGTGACCATCATGGCAGAAGAGTGTGCCGAGGGAAGCGGCTCACATGACAATCAAAAGGCAGAGAGAGACTCCACTTGCCAGATACAAATGTATACCCCGAAGCCAAGCCCCCAAAGCCCATCTCCCCCAGCCACACCTCATCTGCCTTCAGTTACCACTCAATTAATTCCATCACTGATCAATTCAGTGATTGGGTTGAGGTTCTCATAATCCAGTCATTTCTTCTCTGAACCTTCTTGCATTGTCTCACACATGAGCTCTTGGGGGACACCTCACATCCAAACCATAACAACTCCAATTTTGACTTTTATTCAGGGCTATCCTTTTTTTTTCTTTCCACACAGAAGAGAAAAAAGTAATCTAAAAGCCATGGAAGTCATTGAGAACAGATGATTCCCACTATAATTGGATCCTCTACAATACCACCTCTTTTAAACAAGATGCCTTGACTTTAAATTTATACTTGACTTGGTGATGGAGAGGACAGAAGGGATGCAGTGAATTAGAGATGGTTTTCTGGGTGGAGCTGGAAAGGCCCCAATGTTGTTTTGGTACATTTACCTCATTATATGAATGTGGAAAATGACAAAGTGGAAAGAATGAGTGACAGCACACTCAGGATGCTGCCCATTTAGCTTCTAAGGGCATATTTTTAAAACATTTTGGGTATTAAAATACACAAATACACAACAAACAAAAAACAAAGTCTGCCAGGGTCTTTCTCTGCCTTCTGGCTCTCATTTCTTGTGTGGGTGTAGATGTGGTTTAATTTGCCCCAGGGACCACCCTATAGCATATGCTCATCTTTATCCTGTGATTCAAGTTTGGGAATCAATCAGGATAACCACCAGGAGGCAGATTGGCAAGACATACACTGAGGCTCGCCTTTGGGAAACTCAAACTGGTTTCGCCTCTCAGAGCTCCTGTTTGTGAACCTTCAGTTGCATGGAAGGGCAGTCCAGGCAAGGAGCATGTGTTCACAGGTAGCCTGGCGTTGGCCCTGGAGACCGATGCTGGAGCCTCAGTTAAATATGATGCTGACCAAGAAGTTGAGGGTCCCCATCAAGGGACAGGGTGATTTAACATCCCTGGAAGCAGAGCTGGAAAAATCCATGTTTTAAACACTATCCACTGGTGACCATTATCCTCACTTAGACTGGGAACCACTGCCCACATGCCATTCCATTTGTAAGACAAGCCACTGACTTTACTCAATTACCACACACATCGAGATGTTTGTAAGGAAGCATAATAGAAGGAAAAAAGTTCAGTTACCAGAGTTTTTAATTTGCTTTGCTTTCCCAAACAAACAAAAGGATATGGTTTTCTCAGATAGAGTAATAAATGTATTCCGGGGTCTGCATTCCTCTCAATGACGTGCATACAGGAAATGATTTTACAGATTGAGGCAATTTTCCTTTGTCCTATTATTATTTATGAATAGTAAAAATCATTTAGAATATATTTGTTGATCTTATTTGCCTGACCTGATCAAACATCACTCTACAATTATAAAATTACATAATACTGTATTGCTTTCTGCTTTATTTTGGCAGGACAAGTGTTTGGCTTTGTTTCAGAGGATAACCAACAAGAATTTGCATCCTAAAACCACCTTGGTTTCAGGAAAACAATAAAAAGGTCTGAAATATTGAAGAGCTATACGCTTTTAAAACTCTTGCCTTCATACAGTTAGATGAAAGGAGTGGGGAACTGAGCTGATTTTTAGCTTTCATGGCCACCTGCAAAATACCCTCTTTGTTCTCTGTTCTTCACTCAAAGTTGGCAAGCGAACAAGGAAGCAGTGGACAAACAGAATTATTTCAATACCCAGGAAATCCACAGGCACCTCCCTTTAGTGGGGGATTGTAGACCAGCCATCTCCTTAGGAGATAAGACATGGAGCAGGGGAGAGGACACAAACATTGCAAGCAGACAGATGAAAGCCAAGGTCCCCGCAGTGTTTGTTAGCTGAGTGACCTAGGGCACACTACATGGCCACGCCGAGCCTTCATTTCATTTCCTAGTCCGTGTTTGGTGTGCACAGCACACAGTACCATTAAGCTCAAGTTAAACTTTGACTGCCTTTTCCTCTTTGCCAATAGGGCTGAAAACAAAAATATTGGGTTGCACATCACATACAACGTCAAGGACGGTGGAAATCAAAGAACATTCCAGTCATAGATTACACCTTGGCTAAATCTCAAGAACTTCAAAAAAAAATTTGAGACCAGAAAATGATTTATCTTCTTCTCTTAAGGGAGTTAAGAATCTCTGCTTAAAGAAGCAAAGTGTTAAAATGTAACCTGTGAAGTTTATCTCTGCCCTTCGGGCACATCCCTTCCATTCTTGCTGGTCAAAACTTGCATCATTATTTGCAAGTGATCTGAAGGTTTAAACTCCTAATTTATGCATGGTCATGTGTCAGCAGTGGTAGAGGGGATGTAGAAGCTACAGTCAGAACTGGGGGAGGAGGTGGAAAGGAGGGGAAATAGGGTCCTAAAAAAGAAAAGCCATAAACTAACATGAATGCAAACACTCTTACAAAATGTGGTCTAAAGACATTAATATAACCAAGTGCTTTCCCTCTAGTAATCCTAACACATTTTATATGTATTATGAGATCCTCTCTTTCTGGCCCCAGCTTCTCCTTCTTCTCCCCTTTCTCAATTCCTCCCTTCCCCTTTCCCTCTC